TCCATTTTGTATCTGTGTAATCAAAGTGGTTAGGATAGATATATAGTTACATTCTCTTAATGAATAGAGGGATTTGTTCTAATGGTGTTTGTAAATAGAATATCATGTCCACATCATGTACAGCAATTAACCACTAGGAAAAATGTATGCAATGTGTTAAGTATTGAAACTGTCCTACCAATTTGATTTAAAACTGTCTCATTGCTCTTTGTTTCTCAATAAAACTATGGAAAAAAATTAAAATAAAAAATCTCCTTTTACCATATTGACAAAAAAATGTTACAAATATGCAAGGCATTATCAATAGGAAAACCAGAATAAAGGAAACTTCCTTTCATTGTTTTCATAACTCACTGTGAAAATATGATTTAAGATTCAAAGTTTAATAATTAATAGATGTTTACACTTTTGAAACATGAATGCCTACCCGACGGTTGGTGAAGACAGAGTAAAATTCTTTGACAAGCACTGTTTTGATGACTTCTGGGTCTGTGATTGATAAAATTGGTTGTCTACCTTCATATGACCTGTTTTCAGAAAGCAGAACTGATTCAACATAATATGCCAGACTTTACAACTTGTCCCCTACCCAGGAATCACTGGACTTTGATCCATATATAATGAAAATGGTTATGTCTTACAAACTGTACACATCAAGAACTGCTCTTTTCAGTTAGACTTAGTGAATACTGGAGGCCCTGAACTCTTCACAGAACCAAAATCAGTGCAGCTCATGTAAAGAATAAGCATTAAAGACAAAATAACTTTTAAAACATCAGACTTTGAAATGACTTTTTCAATATGTTTAAGTTCAGATGTAATAGGTATGGTTATTGCTGACATGAAGCTTTTCCTGTGTTTATTTCTGAGTTAAGAATGGGTATAGTTCAGTACTGACACAATATTTGAAATTCTCTCATTTCACTCTCCCATGATGAGCAAAACTTAAACTTTAATTATTTTAGTATTCCAAGTGATATAATTAATATAAACTTCTGTATCTTTTTCACTATTTTTGTCTCTCTTTAAAATAAAACATAAAAGAAAACCACAAAAGTCAGATTTCTTATAAGAACCAAAGTCACATAGAGAGTGGGAGTTGTGTCAGTGAATATCCAACATCGTAATCTATTGCTATTGTGTCACAAGGTTATGATGGTCTGTGTGAAATCAGAAGAAGTGAATAAGAAGTAAGAAAATGGAAAGCTTTGTCCCATGTGCTTATGTAGCAAATGCAATGATCACACTTCTTTCATATCTCTCTAAACCTCCAGCATCTCTGAAAGGGTAGAGTGGCTTCAAAGGAATCACACTACTCCAAAATCACTAAGGACACAAGTCTACAGGGGAACACAGTGATTAAAGCAAGACCTGCATCTTGACCTCATAGCCAGAAGAATGAAGTAGAGAAGAAAATATCTGTATATTTACATAGGTGAATCACAGAAGTAAAAACTCAGAGTGTCTCAACTTCATTATATTGTGCACTTGAAGACCTAAACCCTCCCAATGCATAGCTTCAACCCAAGAGCTTATTGTCTAGTTTTTCCTCATTTCAAGGAATTCCCCCCACCAGTTTACCCATTGGAAGTTTCCTGAATACTCACCCCCAAATTTTTCCATACTTTCTATGACACTCTGTATCAAACAGCCATGGACCCTGGGAAGAAAATAAAACTATGATTTCATTGCCGTACAAAATGAAGTGGCCACATGTCTAACTGGGCAGTGAATGCATGGAAATCCAATAATTCAGACTACCCCTCCCTTGTAGGTACAATATATGGGCACTTAAGTATATCTAAATAAACAATGAGACACAAGAAAAATTCCCTAAGGAACTTCTGCTTCTATATGTGATTTTTCTAAATTCTGGAGTTGCCAGGATGAGTGGTATATGCCTGATATTCCAGCATTCAGGAAGTTGAAGTAGGAGGATTGTGTGAGTTTGAGACTATCCTGAACTGCATAGTGAAAGCCTGTCTCAAAAAAACCAAAAGATTAAAAACAGATAAAATTATGTTTTGTTTTATTCAATGCATTAGCTTATCATAGAAAGATCAGGAGATGCAAATTCTACACATAGACACAGCAAATTAAATACTGATATGGTTTGCACTTCCAATATACAGAACCTCATCCTCCTGCTATAAGTTGCATCCATGCATTTTAACAATGAAAAAGTAGATAGCAGACATGTTGACTTGGGATGAATCTATTAAATGATGTAGGAATAGTGCGGCGAAAGATTGCAATTTCAGAGGCAAATACAGTAGGTAATTCTGAGTCAGCAATTAGACAAAGCCATTCATTATGAAAATATGACCTGAGAGATAATTCCAGAGTCATGAGAAAGGAAATGTGGGCAAAGCACACCCTGAACACAGGGACTCCTTCTGGTCTTTTGTGTGTGGGACAGGAAAAATATGTCTGGTGTCACGGAAGGTGTCAAGTTCACAGCAGCATTGTAGCTAAGACCCATCCTCAGTTATGCCCTTTCTCTGTTCAGACTCACACATACAGGGCTGCCTCTGAAGGAAAGAAATAAAGTATAACGAAGACGGCTCTTATTCTGTACCTGAATTTGCTGACATATATAATGTGTAGAAAAAACAGGTTTAATCCTGTAACTCAATAGTGTCTCAAATTTTCTGATCAAGGAAATTATGGAGCCATGATTGATGCTGTATAATGTGACTAAGAAGAGTTACCTAGAGAGAAAACATTCTCTAAGGCTTTCACGGAGAGCAAATTGGTCAATCAATGACCGTGACTCATCCTCATGGCTGACAAGACAAAGGATCTACAAACTGCAGTACACAGAATTTCAGGGTAAATCCTGAGGGGATTTGACTGACCTTGTCAGTTGCAGAAGTAACATTTCTTGTTATATAGGTCTTGCTTTATCATGGTCTTAATCATCCAGCAGAAAAGTATGAAAACAAGGTGTAAATAGTAAAGCCATATTAAAATATGCTGAGATGCAAATCCTCAAGTCAATAGCTTGTGACATGGCCAGTCCTACGGATATCCCACTACTATTATGGACTACTGGACTATATTGGACTATTTTGCTGAATTCATGCATTTACAGTATTTACATTTCAATGGAATACCCATCTCTGACAATATAAAATAAAAAAGGGAGATATAAATGAAGGACCATTTTGTATCTGTATATACAAAATAGTTAGGATAGTTACACAGCTACTTTCTCTTAATTGAATGAGAAGAAAGATTTGTACTAGTAGTGTTTGGACAGGACACAATACCTGCATCTTTACCATGAATAACTAATACAGTCCAGACTAAACCCAGGCACTCCTCATCCAGCCTATGCCAAGGCCCAGCAAGTGTGTGGGAGAGCATCCGGCTACCCTGCACCTGTGGTACCTCTCTGAAACCAAATTCTGGCACTCTGAGGGAGGGAGACACTCTGCTGCAACACTCCAACACTCCTGAGCCACCCTCCCAAACCCGCCGAATGAGTAAGAACTTCTGCCAGGCTATGTGCTTTTGGGAACACCCAGATCCAGCCCAAGCCCAGGCCGGGTGAGTGTGTGGGAGAGCTTCTGGCCACCCTGCACCTTTGTGACAACCCCTGATCAAACTAAGGCACACAGCATGAGTGAGAGCCTCTGCTGTGGCCAGGGTTACATCCACTCCTCCAGAGCCCCCTGAAGCCTTCAGTGACTGAGTACTTCTGCCTTGCTCTCAGGACACCCCCCAGATACAGATCAAGCCAAGGCAGTGTAAGTGTGTGGGAGAGCTTCCCCTCTTCACTGTACCACTTGCTCCCCTCAAACCCAGCCAAGACGTGGCATACAGACCTGGGGTGAAACTCTGTAATTACATTCTCTACAGAGACAGTAGGAGACAAAACCACCCAGCTAATCCAGGAGTAGAATACCTTACAAGAAGGGGGTGACAGGCTCACTCTCAACGGCTGCAGCAAAAAGAAACTGAACACAACAGCCAAACACAAGCCAGGCACAAATGGATAATTCAAACTTTGTAGATAAAAATCCCAAATATCAGTAGGTGCTAATGTTATAACTTCACCAAAGCTCTACAACAAAGAACAGAGGACACTGCTATACAAAATGAGAAAAGTCAATATTCAAAAATCTATAAATGTAAAAACACTATATCAATGGAACAAAAACTAAAAAAAAAAAGATCATCTCTGTTGATGCATAAAAGACTTTTGACAAAGTCCAACACTCACTCATGTTCAAAGTCCTACAGAAAATTGGAATAGATGGCCTCTACTTCTGTGGGAGGCACAACAACTCCAGACCTCCAATACTATTGCAAGTGAGTCTTTTTCTAAATCCTGTGAATCTGCCACATTATAACTCTGTGCCATATAGCACTTAATGGTCACCTGAGTGCCTCAGACCTATAAAATTCTCTTGGTGCATCCGCGTCATTAGTGACGCTGACTTTCTCCTCCCCTACCTCTGATGAGCTAGGTTCCTAATTCTTACCCAGCCTATTTCCCATAAGTATCCTGCTATGCCCAGGAGGTGGGACTTCCAGTCATAGCCCAGTTGCCTAGTTACTCGTGCTTTTTACCCCCCGAAGTCATTTCCCTATGCCTCCACTATATATACCCAGCACCTCCGCTAAATAAATGAGACTTGATCAGAATGCTTTCTTCTCTCAATTTCTCATGTATCCTGTCCTTTGTCCCATCTTCAATTACTCGCTCCTCCCCCAGGTGACTTTCGTTGACTGACCTGCTGGTTCAGGACATACTTCAATCTGGTAAAAACAATTTATGAAAACCAAACGGCTAACATAATTCTAAATGGGGAAAAATTGAAAACTTTTACTCTTAGATCTGATGCCAGACAAGGATGTCCTCTATCACCACTCCTATTCAATATAGTTTTGAAATCATTACTTAGAGCTATTAAACAAGAGAAAAAATAAAAGGAATAAAAATTGGTAAAGAAGAAGTTAAAGTATTATTCTTTGCAGATGACATGATATTTTACTTGGAAAACCCAAAAAACTCCACAAAGAAGCTACTAGAATTAATACAGAAATTCAGTAGCATAGCAGGATACAAAGTCAATACCCAAAAATCAATAGCATTCCTCTACACAGACAACAAACACACTGAGAGGGAAATTATAGAAACAATACCTTTTACAATAGCACTGAGGAAAACGAAATACCTCGGATTTCATCTAACTAAAGAAGTCAAAGATCTTTTCAATGAAAATTACAGTACTCTTAAAAAAGAGATCCTAGAGGATTTCAGAAAATGGAAAGATATTCCATTCTCCTGAATAGGAAGAAAAAACATTGTGAAGATGACCATATTCCCAAAATTGCAGTACAGATTTAATTCAATTCCTATCAGATTACCACCAATGTACCTCACAGGGCTTGAGAAATCATTCCTAAAATTTATTTGGAACCAGAAAAGACCTAGAATAGCAAAGGCAATTCTGGGCAATAAAGAAAAGGCAGGAGGAATGACAATTTCTGATTTGAAATTATACTACAAGCATACTCTGATAAAATCTGCATGGTACAGGCAAAAAAAAATAGACCTGAGGATGAATGGAATACATTAGAAGACTCTGAAACCCCTACAAACATACTCAGCCAACTTATCTTTGACAAAATGGCCAAACATAATCACCGGAAGAAAGATAGTCTCTTTAAAAATGGTGCTGGAAAAATTGGCTCTCTGCATGCTGAAAATTAAAACTTGACCCAGGTCTATCACCATACACTAAGCTAAAGTCAAAATGAGCTAAAGATCTAAACATTAAAGCAGAGACACTAAATCTCCTGGAAGAGAAAGTGGGAGTAACTCTTGAAGACATAGGGGTAGGCAAAGAGTTCATGAACAAAAATGAAAGCGCACGGGAAACACTTGAAAGAATTAACAACTGGGAACTGCTCCTACTGAGAAGTATTTTACCATCAAAAGAAATTACAAACAAAGACAAAAGATAACCCAAATTTGGAAAAAATCATGACAAATAAGTAATCAAGCAAAAGTCTGCTCTCTGGAATTAATAAAGAACTAAAATACAATAGGGCCCAAAAATTTAAATACCCTGTAGAGAACTGGGCATCTGAGATGAACACACACTTCTCAGAGGGTGAAATTAAAGAAACAAATAAATATATGAAAAAATGCTCCACATAACTAACCATCTGCGAAATGCAAATTAAAACAACATTGAGATATCATGTCACGCGAGGAACAATGGCTATCATAAAGAAATCACCAAAAAAAAATGTGGTAGAAGCGGTGGGGAAAAATGAACACTTCTCCACTGATGGTGGGAATGTAGATTGGTGCAACCGTTAAGGAAATCAGTGTGGAGACACCTTAGAAAAGTTGGACTGGAAATCCCATTTAAACCAGCTATTCCTCTACTGGGAATTTTCCCAGAGGATCTGAAAACATCGTATCATAGGGATATATGTGTGCTTATGTTAACAGCAGTACAATTTTGGATAGTCAAATCTTAGAAACAACCAAGATGCCCATCACCAGAGGAATAGATGAAAAATATGTGGTATTT